CCTTCCTGTCCTTCACTGCCTCCCTGAGTTTGCTCAGTTTCATGCTCATTGCTTCAGTTGCACAACAGCACCGGTCTGCTTTATCCAAGCATGTTTTTCTGAGCACTCAAGCCCCCTTTGTCAAACCAGCAAGATAGTTACATCATAAACCATCTCCAAATTCTGAAGAGTACTAACTTCAGCAGGCTTCAGTGCTCTCTCCACAGCGGTTTTCGGAGGGCCGATATAAAAAAGTTTCCTATGAGCTAAGAGTGTGCCGCTCTGGACAAGGGGTTATTGAAACTACAGCTCATGTCCTCTTATACTGTACCCTTATAAGAATCTTAGAACCTGCGTTATAACCCTTTAGTAAAACAGCTGAGAAATGCTGGTCTTTGTTATGTACAGTTGTTGTTACCAGATCAGTATGATTTAGTTTCCTTGAACGTAGCCAAGTTCTGTTATACTGCCTATAAAATTAGAGATAACTTGATTGCCCACTGATGAACTCACCAGCAACTGTAAGATTCTTATTCTGTTTTGTTTTGTTTTTTCCTAATTTTTTTAAAATGTGTTTTATTTTTAACTGTGACTACAATAAACTCTTACGACAGAGTACAGATAATGAAAAAGAGATGGAAAGGTGTCTGGGCTGCAATAAAAAATTAGAATTTTCTGTATCTCTGTGCTACCCTCTTGTGCTCATCCAGATTGCTGCAGCTCTACATAAGTGTGAAAGGCATTCAGTTTGCCATAGATAGATAGATAGATAGATAGATAGATAGATAGATAGATAGATAGATAGATAGATAGATAGGTGATTTGTGAGCTGGTACTTGGGAGCTTGACAACACAGCCTTTTATCTTCCCCATGCTCCCAAGGACGCAGATTTGAAAGGAGGGTAAGTCCTGTTCAAATTAGTCCTTCAAAACTTTCAGATACTTATTTTCAGTATTTCCTTTTCCCTGACTACTGGTGGTGATATCTTTAGAAAAGTTTATATTCTAGTTATGCCATGCTGTTAACCATGATTGCATTTCATTAACAAATGAGTAATATTTCCCCCTAATAATACATTCTCTGCACTAGGATATTATTTTGAACATCTCTGAAAATGTCTACTCCTGATCCTCCAATGGGTGGGACACCTCGCCCCGGGCCTTCTCCTGGCCCTGGGCCTTCTCCTGGTGCTATGCTGGGCCCCAGTCCTGGACCATCCCCAGGTTCTGCACATAGTATGATGGGTCCCAGCCCAGGGCCACCATCAGCAGGGCACTCTATACCACCACAAGGGCCTGGAGGTTATACTCAGGACAACATGCACCAGATGCATAAGGTAATAAAGGATAACATTGTTTCATATGTGTACCTCCTTAACAATATCGGTTTGCTTCACTTGAATAGAAGAGGAAAAGGGGGGATCAATGTGAGATACTGCATATCCGTCTTCCTTTATTGTTTCAGTGATAAAATGTAGTACAGCAGAATGCTTTTCACAGTGTTAGGTTTCAACAAGGGGGAAAAAGAGTTATATTTTTGTGTGGTATTTTATTCACGAGTTCAGGTACAATATATACATAGTGCTCCCTCCTCCTGTTTTCTCCCAAAAATGTGTGATAAGGCAGAGGAAAGAGTTTTTTAGAACGCATATTTATAAATAAGGTTCTTGCCTTTTAGTCATGTGCTATTGAGAAAGTAGTCCAAAATCTCAGATGCATGATGCATATCAGTTTTCCCAGTTTAGTATTCCCAGATACATTGTGAATTCTGAGAGCTGGGTAGTGAGTGCATCTGCACAATGTATTAAATCACCCTGGCTGATTAGTGTGAATGGACATGCCACCTGCTTATTGTGTTTTGCATGGCTCCTTAACCGAGTCAACAGCTTCTTTGTGGTTTAATGTGACATGTTTATCACATGTTCCACGTTCTCATGTCAGATTAAACCATAAAAAGGATGCTGAGTATAATTAAGAAGTCATGGGGGATAGGAGTAAAAAAATGGCATGCATAATCATATTAACAAGCTGCAGTGATTTAAAATGTCATACACATGTGCTTGTAATTCATGTTGAATATGACTTTGATCTAGAATATCTTTTCATTTATATATTGGATTTATTTGATTGATTATGTGCCATTAAATCTGTGTCAACTCTTAATCACCACATGATCTTAGAAAATGTGTCCATTTCAAGTACTATAATGACAGGAATTAGGTCAGTATTTCTCCTGGCAGATTAATAGTCAATATGTTTATCGTGCAAATATAAGTAGGACATTAAAAGTACAATCCCATACATGTCTGCTGAGAAATAAGTCCAGTTAAGTTTAATGGGGCTTACTTCTGGGGAAGAGGGTATAGAATTTTAGCTTGGCCTCTCTAGCTTATCTCCATCTTGATTAGCTCTCATGTCATCTAATATTCGCTGGCTACTCTATGGATAGTTCAGTTCTTCCATTGGAACAGATTTGTTTAGAGGAGTTCTTCATGTGTTTTGTATTATTGCAGCCAATAGATTCCATGCATGAAAAGGGAATATCTGAGGACCCTCGTTACAGTCAAATGAAGGGCATGGGAATGAGGGCTGGTGGGCACACAGGAATGGGACCTCCTCCAAGTCCAATGGATCAGCATTCTCAAGGTATGGCATGCTTTCAGGATTTATGTAAATCACATTGCTGGTTAAATGTAGCATTTGTTCTACAATCAAGTGTCCTTCCATCCTTCTGATTCTTCATAACTTTAAGGTAACTTTCACAAGAAGCTTCCTCTGTTTGTGAAGGATTTTTGTGTAATTTAGAGCCACAATTTCTAAGCTTGCAAATAGAAGGGTCTCTCTGCTGTAGATACTGGTCTTCAACATATAAAGGGTAAGATTCAAACTGAGGAGTGGTAGAGTACCCCATTCTTCTCATATGTAGGTGTTACATCCTTTTGGAATGACTTTATATAGGAGTTTTTAAAGTTTTCTGAAAGAGTAAGACAAGAGAAGATTTACTTTGAAAAAAAATATGACTGATCAAGAAATAAGACAACTCTCCATCAGTACTACTGTTATCATCTTGATCCAGTACAAACTTTAGAAGAAAAAGAGTTTTTGCTTTTTGGAGCAGCAGAAGTTTGTGGTTTTCTGACTGGGCAGGATAGTAGATGTTCTGCTTAGCAGTAGTACTGCAACTTATTTCTGCCTTTAGGCTTGAAAATCTTTGTCATGCTTCACACATCATAGGAAACCATGGTTCAGGACTACATGGATGTGACTCAGCAAGCCCAAATGAAATTTCAGATTTGTGCACACCTCTTCAGTTCTTCTTTTGAGCAACTAGAAAGCATTGAATTCCTCCTGCCAAGTTTAGTTACACCATGTGGCCAGTTTCGTCCTTATTGGGACTCCTACCCACATCTGAGGAGTCCCAACAAGGACAAAACCAGTCATGTAGTGCCTCCTGGTGGCCAGTATAACTGAAAATACGACACAAGATATGTACTGTGTAAAAATAGAGAAATACCTGCCTCCATTGAAGAAAGGAGGTGGATGTCATGTAAAACCCCATACATGGGAATATTACATAATCTAATATCTGTATCTCTCTACACTGACAGCTTAAGGGAAAGTGGACTGTATATACCATTCTGATAGCTTCTGCAAAGTTTAATTTCAATTTAATAATTCTTGGTCAATATTTGACTCAGAGATCCTGATCAATTTTTCAGCTTAATCCTGTGGTTCCTGAATGGGCATTCTGGGGTTACAGGCTCATTAAGACTTCTCTTTCTTAAAATGTTTTGGAGAAAGAAACCTCAGATTTTTATTGCCAAAAGGTCCACTTTTCATTCTTTTCAGAAGTAGGAATTATGACATTGAAGTGGACAAAAAGAGGCATGCTGGAAAGTGTCTCTAGAAAGACTGAGTTTCTGCAGAACCCAGGACCCTCCTGACACATCTGTAAAATAAATAGACTGTAAAGTTTCAAATTAAAAAAGAGCCCTGTCTGATCTTCTGTTCAGAGATCTGCCTTTATTTTCCTCCATCCCTTCCCCATAAGGTTATTCTCAAAATCATTGCCAGAACTAGCCAATTTTCAACCCTGGAATAAAAACCTACTTTTTCAAAACTAACCTTTGTTTGATTGAAACCAAGATTCCAGGTCTGAATATAATACTAATTTAGCAGTGAAACTAAATTTCACAGAAATCGTTTTCTCAACCATGCAGAAGAAGCAGAGGTACATAATCAATGTGCCAGCCAAACCACTTGGACCCACTGAGGCACATCCACTTATTCATATTGGTAATGTTATGTTCAAGTGTGCTAATCTCTAGGCAAAATCCTCTCCAACTGCTGTCATTTGGCTGTTCATCTGAAATGGTTATGCTCTTTTCCTACCAAATATTGGTGGCATAATTACTTTAATTTTAAACTGCTAAGTAAAAAAAGATGTAGTGTCTACTAAAATGCAAGCACATACTTCAGATAAAACTGCTTTATCCTTGATTGTGGGAAGTACAAAGCAAATGAAGCTTTCTTTCTTTCTATCTCTCATTCTTTTTTATTTCCTTTCTCTTTTTGTCTTGCCCCTTTTCAGGCTACCCTTCTCCACTTGGTGGTTCTGAGCATGCATCAAGTCCAGTCCCAGCTAATGGTCCTTCTTCTGGCCCCCAGATGCCATCTGGCCCTGGTGGAGTCCCATTAGATGGTACTGACCCCCAAGCACTAGGGCAGCAGAATCGGGGCCCAACTCCTTTTAACCAGAATCAGCTGCATCAGTTGAGGGCTCAGATCATGGCCTACAAGATGCTTGCCAGAGGCCAGCCATTGCCTGACCATCTTCACATGGCTGTGCAGGGAAAAAGGCCAATGCCTGGAATGCAGCAGCAAATGCCAACTCTACCTCCACCTTCTGTATCTGGAACAGGACCAGTGCAAGGACCAGGGCCTGCACCTGGACCAACGCCTCCGAATTACAACAGACCTCATGGTGAGTCTAAGCTGAAGTCTTTGAGACTCATCTGGGGTGAGGTTCTCCTAGGTCCCTTCTGGGCGGGCTTTCCTTTGCTCAGAGCAGAAGAGTGAAATGTGCGAAGAGAAAGCTTAATTGTGTGCCTGTGTTTGTCCTGTGTTTTCACAGGTATGGGAGGGCCTAATATGCCCCCTCCTGGACCCTCAGGAGTTCCTCCAGGAATGCCTGGGCAGCCCCCTGGTGGACCCCCCAAGCCCTGGCCGGAAGGTAAGGCTGTGGATTGGGGGGACTTTCAGTTGGGTTTTCCATTGCTATGTTGAAATATATCCTGCTTCATTGGCATCTCAATCATTAAAGGCTTCCAAGGCTTCAGCCTGCCTTTTGCTGTAAGAGGCTATCATGTCACAGTTTTTTCTGTGATATCCATGTGACTGTTTGTGCCAGGAAATATGCCACCAGTCTGAAAATTGCTACAAAAGTCACAGTGTTTGAGGATGGGTATCTGTCAGCCTTGCAAAATAGTCCAGAAAGGAAGCATGCCCAGATGAGCTATAAAATTGTCTAGTTTATCAGAAAATGTTTTATTTTTCCTTTATTTACAAGATTTATATCCTATACTCATATGATATATCCCATATATCAACTGATCCTCAAGGCGGCTAACAATAGGGTATAAATAATAAAAATAAATTAAAAAATGCACGAACACCTAGCAACCCTGAATTCTTCTGCCCATGTCAGTATCTCATTAGAATGCTATGACAGAACAACACTACAATTTAGTGAATAGCTTGGAGAAAACTTATAATCAGATAAAATAGTAATCAAATTTTGTTCAGCTGATTACATGGATAATTCTGAGTAATTTTGTTCATATTTAGGCAAGGATTGAGAGATCCTTGGATAGGCTAATGTTTATTTATTTAAATAATTGACATGGCCACCCATCTCACAGCAGTGACTCTGGGATTAAAACAATGGTTAAAGCAGTGATGCCCGAGGTAAACAATATGTCCCAATCCAAAAAACAGTATCAACAACAAAGCTTGCCTAACCTCCTGGTCCAACCACCTGGGGAATCAGCCAAGTCTTCAGAGAAAGATGAAAGGCTAACAGAGTCCTTGTTAATTGCTTCTCAGGTCACTGACTAGTTTGGGAACCAGCATGATGTAATGGCCAGATGCAGACAAGGAGTGGCCATCGCATGTTAAGATGGACAGTGATAGGCACCCATTCCCAAGGTGGCTGTAAGATTAAATTTCGAAGGCAGGGAACCACTAGCATACTCTTGCCTTTTGCTCTTTAAATAAAAAACATCAACTTATTCAAGTAGTTAAGTACATTGACCTAAATGTTGAAGCTGGTCTTTGAAGATTTCATTGTTTTGCATATACGCCCTCAGTGGGCTTGCAATATGAAGGCATCCCATAAACGTCTTCCTCATATTGCTCTTCAACAGGACCAATGGCGAATGCTGCAGCCCCTACTAGCACACCTCAGAAACTGATTCCTCCTCAGCCAACAGGCCGTCCTTCACCAGCACCTCCAGCGGTACCTCCAGCAGCATCCCCTGTCATGCCTCCCCAAACTCAGTCACCCGGGCAACCAGCCCAGCCTGCCCCAATGGTTCAGTTCCATCAGAAGCAGAACCGTATCACTCCAATCCAGAAGCCGAGAGGACTTGATCCAGTTGAAATCCTTCAAGAGAGAGAATACCGGTAAAACTGTGGCTTTAAATGGCAACTTCGTTGGTATTGCTCTGATAGGAAATGTGGATGAAATTCATTTGAATGATCAGGCGCGTTGGTGCTATAGTTAGCGTTGAAGTTAACTGTATCAAGTGACTACCACCGCAGGGAATAGGTAAGCAATCCTGCATGGCGCTGTGGACAGCATTACAAATTTAGCAATGTATTACAAGCTACCTGGTTGTCGAGGGTAGATTCCATTACCTGGAACAGTGTTTCTCAACCTCAGCAACTTTAAGATGTGAATTCCCCAGAGAAACACTGACCTACAGCAAGGGTTTTCAAACCTTTTCAAGCCACAGAATCAAAAAAAGCTAATGGCAACCATGGGTTTTTTTCGTGGAAGATCAAGTCCTGGCCTTTCTCCTGTACCTAAGAAAAATTGCTATGGATGTCCCTGGCTGCTCAAGTGTAGTTGTTGTTGTTTTTTAAAGCCACAGAATCAAAAAAAGCTAATGGCAACCATGGGTTTTTTCGTGGAAGATCAAGTCCTGGCCTTTCTCCTGTACCTAAGAAAAATTGCTATGGATGTCCCTGGCTGCATTCAAGTGTAGTTGTTGTTGTTTGGTTTACCCTTGATCTCTCATGGAACTCCATCAAGTTTTCAAGGAACCC